TTCTTGATTCTTTTCTACTTTGGGATCAATGTAATTACACTTGCTCTTGCATCCAAATTTTACATCCTTGTTTTTTAGAAATATTTAATGTAGTTACTTTTTGATGTTTCCACTGCAGGCCCATCCGTATTTCTCTCAAGTGAGGGCAGCAGAAAGTAGCAGGATGCGGACACAATAGCTTGATCAATACCAGCTAATATATACACCAGAGTTACTCGTGTCGTTTGGGAATGTACTATATATTTTATCATAAAACGTCATTTCTGCCTTTGTTAAATTAAGGCCGCTTCTTATTGGATTTTTCATAATGTGATCTTATTTTTATTGTATGTTGATGGTCTGAGAGACAATTTGGCATTTCGATCTTGATTATCTATCTCAATTTGTATGGTGTTTTCTAGATTATCATGAAGAAGTCAACTTAAACACTGTATACATGATTTTATAGAGAAAATTAGAAAATTTACGTGTAGAAGTGCGTTAATTTAAATTTTTTATCATTTACTCTTAATTAATACTATGTTGACTAAAATAGCATTTGATTAATTCAAAAGGTGTTAAACAAGAATAAAGGGTAAAAAAATGAGACTGCAATTTAAGGAGATATTTGTCTATTTTTTCCTAATTTATAGGATCTGATGGTAATGACATCGATGTGCCTTATGATAATGCGTACATATTATACAATGACTAATGAGTAATTGCGTCATTCTAGATTTTCCCGTGTTTTTCCCTTCATGCAACAACGTCAATTAACTAGCCTTTTCTCGGCCCTTGGCGTTTCAATTAATTTGTTTGGATTAGACTTTATGGCTCAAAAGAGAGTGGAATGAATTACATATGCAAACATCTAACAATACGTAGACTAACAAAAACTAAGTGACCAGTCGATTGGCATTTTTGTCACCGTTATATAAGTTTCGTTCACTTCGCGGATTCGAGTTTTCAATTCGAATTGAGATGTGACATTTTCTAAGAAATTTTTACTATAGCAGAAAAAGTTAGATCTGACATTTTCTAAAGACTTTTTATAAAACTGAAAACTTAAATCAGTAAAATAAACGAGACCATAATAACCACCGATCTGGAGATCAAATCACATGACGCAAAGCTTTAAAGTAAACCATGACAAATTTTTCTCAACTATTTGCTTTTCACCAGCTTTGAATTAAAAGACAGAATGCTTAGCCCGTTTAGTATATGAGTTCAAATTAGTTTGGTTATGACTTTTAAAACTGTTTAATATATGAGTTCAAATTGGTTTGGTTATGACTTAAAACTTAAAAAATACTGTAACAGAATCAAAACTATAATTTTAAATCTATGAAGAACCCATATATCAAACATGCCCTTAGATTCAAGTGTATCTTGAAAGGGGGTTGAACACTTAAAAATCTATAAATCTATATATGATAAGAATTGAGAAGATGAAGAGCACTTGATATTCTTGACAATTTATCTCACAATGTTTAATTTAAACACAGTCACTATTACACATTTCATTTTTGAAACATCCTTGTTTCAAACAGCCACTGATATAAAATAAAATCCTTGGTAAAATCATTCCAGAAACCTCTAAAACGAAGGGGCGGCACCTCCACAGCCTGTCCCAGCATAGTTCTTAGGCACATTACCCAATACCCACATAAGTTTGTTCATTTCTTGAGGTGAGGAAAGCACACACAAACATCGGACTTGGGATGCTTTGCCTCTGCGTGTTCCTTGCACTTCACCTCAGATGTGGTGCACATAAACGTTTGCATACACACCTTGCACTGCATCAAACATTATAACGAGTCAAAATCTTTCAAGTAACGAAATCTGTTGACTAAGGGCTTATTCGGTAATGTTGTGTTTTGTGAAGGGTCTATCATTTACCAAAAAATGATTAAGCAGAAAATCATTATAAGTTATGTAAAAAAATTTTAAAAAAAATTGTTTTCTTTAGATTTGATAAACAGAAACACAGAGAAAAGGACCTATAAATGCTTCAATCTGCTATCCTTGTATTGTATGTTAAACAAAGGTATTGATATGAAACGGGGTATTTCTCAAAAAAAAAAAAAAAAAAAAAAGATACCATCTAAACCTAATTTACTTTTCCAAGCAAGAAATATACATCATCTAAAACCGCTCTCAAATAAGAAACCAAAAAAAAAAAAGTTAGAATTGCAGAAAATTACCTGGATTGTCATAGCTTTCTTGTTTGAATCGAGTTGGCTTCCTGCACAAATCAAACAAAATACACATGAACAACCGGATCTACGTCTGATGAATCACGATAATCAAATTTCACAATTAAATATCGCTTTTTCTATCGCCTTGACCAACAATCAAAAGAAAATTTTTCAAGACGTTTCCTTCATTTTGCTCGGCAACCAAGCAACTGATTTCTCGAATTAGGAGAGGAAAAACTTACCCTTGCCCGCCGCTTTTTGCTTCTCCAGGTTCTTCTCACGGGCCATCTTTGATTTCTGTGCATTGCCTCCTCCCATGTTTTCTCAGCAACCAAACAAAGAACAGAACCTGAAAACCCTAATTTCTTGACGATGAGTACTTTCCTGTTTCTTGGGTCCGTCCGTGCTCGAAAGTCGAAAGAGAGCTGCGACACGACGCGATTGGGATTCTTTATTGCTAGAGAGAGAATGATCCGGTCACTGCCTAGAAGGTCACCGCCCAATAATTGGAGCTTCTTTTTTTCGTCGTTATATAATCTCCTATTTCGAATTGAGAACAATAAGATCTTTATCAGTTTTTAATTTTAAATTTTTAAAATAAAAAATTTTAAAAAAATATCACATTTAATTTTTTTTATTACAGTAAAAAACTCTTAAAAAATATTACATCTTAACTCAAATTAAATACTTAAATTCACAAAATAAATGATGCCTAAATATTATTTTTCATTTTTATAGTGTTTTTAAGGGTAATTAATCTTTAAAAATTAAGAATTATTTATCATAATTAATTGTGATAAGATATATTAAATGATTCTGACATTAATATAACACTGAACAAATAAAATGTGAAATTATCTTTTGCTCTTAACACACCCTCACGTACACATCACGTGATCAAAATTATATTAAAAAAAACACCGTTTTCGACTGGTTTTTAATTGTAAAAAAGTTGAAGGAATTGATTGTCAAGAAAAAAAAAAAAAGAAACAATTTATCAAATTCAAACAATTGAGTACGTGTTCATTAAAAATAGTATGTTCATTATATAAAATTAAAATATAAATTTAATATTTAGTATTACTTTGAGAGGAGAAAAAAAAAACAATTGCCGTCTCAAAGTAATAATTGCCTAGACAATTTAATATTGCATATTTCATTTTTTTCCCTCAAATATGTCATGGCAATTATTACTTTGAGAGGAAAAAAAACAAAGAAAAAAAGAAGAGTTAGCCTGATAAATGGTCCTTACGTTTACCTCTATTTTATTTTAGTTTCCAACTTTTAAAATATCTCATAATTAGATTCTAAGATCTTTCCCTTAGTTATATGTTAAATATTTTATGAAATTAATTTGTGAAAATTAGAGATTAAAATTAAAAACATTTAAAGTTTATGAACTAAAATAATAACAAAAACACAAGTTAATCTTTACAAATAGTCCCTAAATTTTTACTGTTTTCAAGTTTACACGGATTTTATTAAATATTTAACACTTAATTAATGAAATGACAGAAACTAAAACAAAGTAAAACATCTAAGACTAACTGTGAGAATGTTTTAAAAGTCAACATAAAATTTAAGAACTATTAGTAGAATTAAAAAAAAATCATGGAGGATGAACAATTATCACCAGGGCACAATATATATATGCCTAGTCATTGTTTAATAAATGAACATGGTAAACTAGAAGCAACCTTTTGTATCCTTTCTACCAGAAAGGGAACGAAAATTTTCTAAAGTACACGTATTAAATGGTGAAATTAAGCTATTGTTGTGACCAAAAAAAGAGTGTAGGAACTACGAATGGACCATTCACCAATATTATAATGACCTTCCCACCTGCCGTTGTTCACAATCAATTTTCTAATTAGTGAAGTGTTCATTTTCCTGTATAATGTTTTTTTTTTTCTATTTTTATTTTATTTTATTTAGGTATAGTGTTTTATTATTTAAACCATAAAGGATATGAAGGGAAAAAAATGAAGACATTTAATAGATTGTAACATCAACCCACCAAAGTATTTTTTGTCTAGAAAAAAAAATCCGCGTGAACCAGACGATCATATTCATATTTTTCAAGTCTCAGTATTCTTTTATAGTGATTTTTGTATGAATTTTTAATTGTGTTTTGATTTGAGTTTTAAATTTTAGGATAGAATAGTTATATTTGCACCTTAAAAATTTATAAATGGCCCTTATAATTAATGCTTATTCAATAAATGTTTAAAAACTCTATCCTCTTATAGATATATTTTTTATAATACTTAATTTAACCCTTTTATACCCCACTTACTTTTAATCTTCATTTAATTTCCAAAACAATATACTTATCCAAATTTCATCATAGAAAAATGAATGCAACATCATGCTAAGTAAAATTAATTAAGCTAAATTACACTACTCTTTCTTTTTTATGTTAATTGGACACTTGTTCAATTATAAAGAGAGAGTTGAAATTAATCACTTTCCCAATAAGAACCCTTGATGTTGGATACCAGATTTACGGATCATGTAATGAAGAGCTTCATTGCAAGTGTGGGAGTTGACTGTTGACTTGCACCATACTCAATTCACCTATCAATTCCGTCAAAATTTTAATAAAATTGGATATCATGGATTGAGAGGTTTACATAATACATTTTAAAATAAAAAATGAGACAAATACTTTTTTAGAGTACACGAGTCTAGTAAGAGTCTAGACAAAACCCTTATTGTTAATTAATATTTTTTTATTCAAATAATTATATTAGTCAAAATAGTATTAATGAAGAATAAGAGATAAAAATCAAGAGTTATGTACTTTTAAAAATAAGTTCAATAATTTTCTTTTTAATTTAAAAAAAAAATAAAAAAAGACTTGGTACAAAATAAACAAACCATGCAAAAAATTTTTCTGTAATAAAAAAACTATGCTAAATTTTCCCATCATTGTATCATAAATCACATAAGGAGCCCCATGAAATATGAATTACACTATCCTGGCAAAATAAACAAAAAGTGTACACTTTTTCGTGCTTTATTCATTCACTATTCAGTCTTTTATTGAGCCAAAAGATTAAAAACAAAAACTATATAATATTCATGCGTAAAACAGAGCAACCTTTTTTGGTCGTAAGTACACTCAAAGTATAGATATTAGCCGTCATTAGACTGGTTAAGTATATTAAGTCTCGTTCACTTTGTGAATTTAAATTTTTAATTTAAATTAAAATGTAATATTTTTTTAAAATTTTTTATTATAATAAAAAAATTAAATATAATATTTTTTAAAAATTTTTAATTTTAAATCAGTAAAATGAACACACCTTAAATAAAGTCCAATTTAAAACTTTTTTTTTTATTCGTCTCTTTTTTGGCGGTTACCGGTTAGTGACAGTGCTTTTCCAACAACACCTCGCTCTTGCGACCGACACGTAATATAATACAGCGAAAGCAAAAGCAGCAAAGTGTATTTTTATATCCTTTTGCCGTTGCCCAAAAAAAAAAAAATCCCGGCAAATGCATTGTAGAATATACTTTGCTCCGTTCTGCAAAAATCCTTTCTTTTTCTGTTCTCACTTTCTTTCTTTTTCTCTCTAATCATTATCGTCATTGAAACTGTTCTCTCTCTCTCTCTCTCTCTCTCTCTCTCTGCAAAGATCATGGAGCTTTTTCTGGAGCTCGCGTCGACCGTTGCTCTTACTCTTCTGCTCTGCTACTTCATCGGCAAGCTCGTTTCGTCTTCTCCAAATGGCGGTACAATGAACCGCGACGGAAAAATCGGTGTTCGCGACTGCAATTTCCGAGTCGAATCGGCGGTTCGCGGTTCAGAAATCGAAGAGCGATTCGATATCATCGAGAAAGTTGAAGGTGAAGAGGTTCTGAAGAATTTGTCCGTCGAAGAATTCGTGAATGGAAGCGAAATCGAAGAGGATGAAGCTTCGGGAGAGAAACTTGTTGAGCAAGAAAGTTACGGCGAGAACCGTGGGTTTTCCGAGAGAGAAGAGGGAAATATTGGAGAAATTGAGGTGTGTTCTAGCAATAACGACGAAATGAGCGGCTCTAAGTGTGAATGCGAAGAGAAAGATGAGGATCGTGTAAAAGAGGGTTTTTTGTCGGATGAAGAAGAGGATGATTGGGTGGGAATAGAAAGAACTGAGCTGGAGAGGCTTTTCGGTGAGGCGCTTGTTTTTGTTGGGTCTAGGAGTAATTACGATAAAGTTTCGGGTATGGAAAATGATTTGAAACTGAAGTTGTATGGACTTCACAAGATTGCGACTCAAGGACCTTGCTTGGACCCCCAGCCAATGGCGTTGAAAGTCTCTGCAAGAGCAAAATGGTAACTTCTTTACTTCTCCTTATGTTTTCTGCAATTCTGGATTTGTGAATTGTGATTATCTTCTCCGAAATAATCTTTAGTTGGAAATATATAATTATTTATTATTATTATTATTATTATTTATAATTATTATTATTATTATTATTATTTATTATTATTATTATTATTATTTTTTTGCTCTGGTGTTTAGAAGTGTATTAAGTTGTCTCAATCAAGTGCATAAAGACAGGTTGAAATGTATTAAGTTGTCTCGATCAAGTGCATAAAGACAGGTTGAAATTCTTTTCTGCTGGAGTTAGTGGGCTGTAGCATTAACGGAGATAGAGATTTATTTAATTATACTATGATAAGATGTTTTTTCATTTTATTTTTCGAGAAAATGATGCGAATTTGTACACTAGATAAAAAGTTGAGATGTAATTTAGGCTGGTTTCATTTTGAAGAAAACCCAGCCTCTTATCTTCGGTGCTTAGATTTACAAAAATAAAAAATAGCTAAAAAAAAAAAAAAACTCTTAGTTCGGAGTATATTTTTTTCTGGGCATTTTATGCTTTTGGAGGTAAATTTTCCAAATATTTCGTTACTAACCTTTGTAATCTTTACCCTAGTGTCGGTAGTCTTAAATGCTCTTTGTGTCATTTTTAAGCTGAGGCAGACTAAGCAACAACCTTGTTTGTAAGAAATTCAAAGTATGAAAAGACTATTATTTATGCTTTGAAGGTCTAGCGAAGTTAATATTGAAGTGCTATAAGTACACATAGCATTTAGTCTCAGATTACCACTTCAAATACTGGCCCTTCACTTCCATTGTATAGTTTTGTTTTATACTGTTTAATGAAAGAAGTTATGAGTGGAACTAATGGAGAAACCTGGCCAAATTATGCCAGGAATGCTTGGCAGCAGCTTGGGGAAATGACTCCAGAGATGGCCATGGAACAATACATCTGGCTTCTTTCAGAAAAAATTCCCGGGTGGATGCGAGACCGATTTCGTGTAAGCGAATTGGTCGGTTCTCATAGATTAAAATTAATCATGTTTTTTGGTAAATTTGAAATTTAAGTTGTGATATGCTTGCTTTGTTTTGTTGGTGGTATAGGGAGATGGCAAGCAGGGTTATTTAGGTGCAGGGGTCGAAAGGTAGTTTGCTTTCTACAGATTTTCATCTGTCTTGAGTTTTTAATAGATTTTACAGCTTAATGACCTTTTGTTTTCTGCAGAAAGCATGAAGAACTAAAGGCTTATCACTGAGGCATAGATGTGATTTGTGTTAGGGTACGGACCCATTGAACAAAGCAACAAGGTATGGACCTGGGACATTTATTAAGTAGGTTTTTTCTTTTCGGTTTTTTTTCCCTTTTAATATCGCTATTTGTCTTTCTTTCTTTCTTTTGATAAATTATTAGTCTTCTTAGCTGTTGCGTTGTTCATAATCTAGTGATGTACCACGTTTATACTGGAAAACAAAACAATTGCTCAACCTAACTCAGTAATAATAAGATTTTTTTTTCTTTTTTCTGTTGTAATTGACAAAGATATTAAGTTGAAAATCTCTCGAAGATTTGTGTTTCCCCATTACTAGAGCTTAATAAAATCATGTTGCTTTTTAATAACATGGCTTTGTCCCCAATTCAGGACAACCAATAATTGTCGCCTTTGTGTGCCTGATGTTTCTTCATCAACAGGGTAACTTGTTCTACAACAGTAGATGACCTAATTGCCAATGACGGGGAGATGAAGGATTCAAAGACAGCTAGCCCCAGTTTACAACAAGTACATATTTTTAGTGTTTCTACCTTATCTGTCTGTGTCTATTTCATTAGATTTATCCAATTATTACCAGTTTCTTGTATTCTTTCTTGGTTTTAGGTCAGGTTCGTCTTTGACTTTTTCTCCTCCCACCCTATTTGGTTGGTATATATGCATATATACATATATATATATATATATTTATGTATGCTTAGATAATTAGAAATAAGAAGAAAATTAGGATTGTTACTCAAGCCTGTGGGAAATGAAAGGTATTCTACCATTGCCAAATACACCATCTTCAATGGAGGTTTGAAAATTGTTTTATTAAAGTAGTCAAGTGTGCGTGTAATTCATGTTGGGATAGAAATAAATAATGTTAAAACTCAAAATATCTCGGTTTATTGTTTTGTTTGGATTTGTCAAATGATCTGTTTCATTTCATTTTTGCTCTCCTAACATCCAGCTAATTAACCTGTGGAGCTAAATGTTCTATTTACGTTAGGACCCGTTTACTTCGCTGATTCGCGTTTTTATTCGAGGTGAGATGTGACTTTATTTGTGAGTTTTTTACTATAGCAAAAAAGTTAGATGTGACTGTTTCTGAGAGCTTTTTATTGTAACAAAATTCAAATTCTAAATTCGAATCGGTGAAATGAATGGGGCTGAAGTTTTTTCAAACTGGCAAATTAGGCCTAAATTCGTAATTATGATAAATCGCTTGTGAATATAAAGAAGAATGTGAAATGTCCACAAATCGATACCAGCTATTAACTTTTAGATGGAAATGCTCTCTGGGCATGTCATTTAAGCTTGGTGCAATAGAATGGATAGAACGGGATTTTACCGGATAAATGATAAAAGCACATCTAAATTAATAAGCTAATATAAACGACATAGAAATATAAAAACGGCTATTAAGAACTAAATCTTCCTACATCAGTTGACTCCTTTGAAAAGGAACTCGACCCCGAGTTCGGTAGAAGCATGCAGAAGGCAAACGTGATGTAGCAAGCGAAACCACTAAGGGCAAAACTCCTGCTTTGGCTTGTGCGAGTGGAAGACCCCAACCAAGTAGCTCTTTCATATTACATCCCACACCCACGAAGGCAACAAAGCAATAGACCAATGAAATACCAAGAAAATCTAAACCGATTGCCGTTGGTCTCATGGGCGGGTCTAGGCACTTCTTTGAGGCCCAAACTAGGTAGGCCGTCTCTCAAGTTTAAGTATACTTTTGCATCATTCTCTCCTCAGAAAAATGCCCCCTCCAGAGTGCACCTATAGGGATTTAAACTTGGGACCTCCTGCTCTGATACCAACTAATGTGACAGAATGGATAGAACGAGATTTTACCGGTCTAACTCAGACGGAGAATTCTCAAATCCACTTAAAAGAACCCCACAAGGGGAAAACCCCCAAATTAGAAAGAAAACGCAAGTCTAGTATTCAATTATCAAATATTTAAGTCTTAACTAATAACAATAGAGATTATTATTATTTATAGTCCACTCATCAAATGACAACAAAACAACTATTAAGATAAAAAATAAAAGCACATCCAAATTAATAAGGTAACACAAACGACATAGAAATATAAAAACTACTTCTAATAACCAAATCTTCCAACATCAAAGCTCATTTGAAGGATAGATATTGGAATTTCGGATGGTGTCTCGTGCTCAAGTGTGTTTCGATCAAAACTTTTAACAACCATCATTAAGTTGAATCCACCATACAACACCTTATTATGTTTGTAAAACTATATGCTGCAATAAAAATCTAGAAAAAATCAGTCAATAAAAACGCTGAGTACTCAAACAATTATTAATTAGTGTGAACATCTAAATTCATTGTTTCAAAAATCAGTAGCACAAGTGTTGGTTTCTCCCTTTTGCTGAAACAACAAGTGTTGTGTTATTAGATCCCATTTATGGGAAATTGATGGCCTTGAGTTGTTGTGTTATTAGATCCCATTTATGGGAAATTGATGGCCTTGAGTAGGAAAACGACTGCTTACCAACGTGCACTAATGCCACTAGACAAAGAATGTGCCACAATTTCGAGCTTCATATCACTTTCGTCTTGACGCTTTTCATTTTTTATGTTGAATTAAATTCACCCAATTTATGCATGTACGTAGTTAGAACTAGTACAATATAGTAACTAACTAAGCAAATAATTGGATTTTTTTTTGCTAATAAGCAAATAATATTAATTGGAATTAATCCAAGTTTTAAGAGGCTTGAAAAATTAAAAAAAAAAATATATATATAT